TTTATTCGATTTATTAAAGTCTATTAACTTTAAGCTTTGAAAGATAGATGCAAGAATTATAAATTATTGGCAAATATCTTTTGATTTCTTGTATTATTAATTCTGAAATGTTGCATATTTCATGAGGTCCTGAACGAATAATTATACTCAGAAATTAAAAGTTAAGAAAATATAAAGAAAACAGGCTATAATTAAAGACAATTTTAATGTATGTACTATATTTATAAAAGCCTACAATTATATTACGTGGTGCATAGAAAATTAGATATATATTAGTAGAAGAGGAAATAAAAAACTAAGGAAGAAAGAAAGAAAATAATCAGATAAATATATGAAAGAAATTTTAGTACCATTCCTTTAAATCGATGTCTTCAGATATGATCACTAATGGCGTATCAGTATGAATAAATTCACATCTACAGTTTTTTCCAGACAGCTGACAAATGATATTATTTCTTTCCCAACTCATGTTAGCTTTCAACAATTCGTGATATAATATAATATCGGTCATCAAATAAACCAACAAAAAGTAGAAAGCAATCACCAAATTTATGGTGCTTGGCCAACAATTAAGCTTCATTTTTTCGTATCAATTGTTTTAACTAATATTTTTTGAACTAAAAGGTCTGGTTTTTTAAAGGGCAAAACTGATATTTAAAACCGGCTTAATATACACAAATGAAACCGACATGAAAAGTCGGTTTTAAAAGCGAAATTCAACAGAACTTTTTAAAGAAGAAATCTGTAGTTGGGTATAAAATTCGAAAAATGGTTGTGAAATTTGTTTGCATGTTTAACAGTTAAATGAAAATAAAAATTAATAACAAACGTGATTTTAGATATCGGAACATTACTGCTCTACTAGTATTATATTTAATTTCATTTAAATCTCAATGAGTGTAAAAGCGAATAGAACAACAACTGTAACCCAGTTTCATATTAAGAGAGCAATCCCGCCAGCTTTGACTTATTCTATCCTATTTTAATTTCTAGCAGATCTTTAATGCAAACAAGCTTATTTCCTTATATAATAAATGAATTAAGTCCGATGGATATTTGACACACTACTTTGCTTGGGATAACACAATAGCTACACACACCTACATGGATAGACAATTCAATTAGTTCGTCCTGGTCGGCTTTTGCCCACGTCAACAAATTTCTAATTGCGCATAAGAATTGCCTCCAGCATTTGGCAGATTGTGCGCGTAGAATTTAATTAAAGGCTCTAAATAGGAAAGTGCGTGGGTATAGGTGTGAATGCAGTCGTGGGTGAGTTGCGAGAATTGCCACCGGAAGCTCATAATTGCTATCAAATGCGCACCATGCTCCCTCCCAGGTGAGAAGATGAGGTGGCAGTCTTTAAGGGCAAGTTCAGTGTCAATAACTCGCAAAAAGTCGTGCCTTGCACTCACTTTTACTTGCGCGCTTAACCTCCATGTCCCAATCCCCATTAATAATAATATTAATAATGACAGTGCAGTGGCAAACTGTGGGGCAACATTTTTGGTGTAATTTTCCTTCTTGTTAGTATATTTGGTGCTGTTGTCCCCAGCCATTAGTTCAGTGGCCTGACAGCAATTAAAGGGCCAAGTTCAGTGTCCTGCTTGGCGGAAACAAGGTAGCGCACAGCACGATGACTCTGCATATTGGTGCAATCAAGCTTGATTGTCGTAATTTAGTGAGTGGTGCTTGCAAATAGGGAAAGTACAAGTCGGAGAGCAATTGGATTAACGGATAGCTATAGTAAATAACACTTTAAGTAGATAAGGACTTAATGTTATTGGCACGCTTCTGATCCATATGGATAATCAGAGTAATTTATCTATGTTTTATTTAAGTGCGTTCAGAAGAAGAGGCATATTTATTGAAAATTCATTGCAACTCATAGATAAAACAATATACAAATAATACAAATGCTGTACACACTTGATTTACAATAACAACTGAAGATGGACAGAAATTACATATCCGGCAATAGGCTCTTTAGAAATTATTCATTTAAAAAAGTTCATTTATATTCAGAGTAAACTTCAATGTATTTCGAATCGAAAAACTCTTCCAATTTATTTCTAGAATCTCAAAACGCAAACTGGTCTATCTTTCTTGAACTGGGCAATAATTCCTCAACTTAAATTGAGTTCAAAATACTTTATGATCAAACCAGACATGCAGAAAAATATTTAGTCAAATATAATATATAAAATACTTCGTTCCTCTTTTTACTGAGTAATTATGTTATTAATTGGAGGCGTCATGAATTGGATTTCAACTCAAATGTTATTTATTTAGTGAATAGGAATTCTGTTTTAATAGACGAACTTTTCGCTGTCGTAGAGTTGGACAACAAAGCAACAAATATTTGGTGATACTGGTGGACAGTTATTATAATTATTTATCATTCTATAACACATTATCAAATCACTCATTGACAATTCTTTTTAAGTATTTAAGCTTTTTCCGTGCCAAATCAACACATTTTAATGAAGTTTTAGTTTTAAAAGTATTGATTAAAAAATTAAAAAAGCCCAAAACCACTCTTTAATTACTTTATCCTTGGAACATACCAGGAATAACTCCGTCACATGCACAATGTAATAGGTACTTAATATGCTTCACACTCCCTTGTCAAGTTGTGTTCCAAAAGAATTTAAAAATATGCATTAGATACGCTGACTCAATACTGCGGATGTCAAAAGAAATTACTCACACTGTCTGTCAATGACACTCGTATACTCGTACATACGAGGCTGTATCAGGCTTTTAGGCACTGCTTCTATGCCATTAACTTTGTAAAGCCCAAGCCAAATTGTAGGAGTTGACTGCGGGCACAGCTTTTAACGTTTAAGCGACACATGATGGTGGCCCCAAAAGTGCAGTCATCACTTATCCTCCCCTCTCCATCGAGTGTACAACTTAATTTATTAAATTTCCACCGAATTTGTTGTCTCAGCAATAACGCTCTCCCTAGAACAACAACGTTAAGCGACAAAAAAGAAAACAGCCAAGCCGAAGTGCCCACGCATTTCTAATAGGAACTGCCCATCGTCGTAGTACTCGTATCTGTTCAATATTCGATACGCGATAAAATAAATTTTAGTCGAGCACAAACTTTTTGGCTAAAATTGTTTTCCCCAACTTAAACAAATACAGAATAGAGGTGAGCGCAAAACGTGAATTTTTGTAAATGTGGCCAGGCGTTCAAGATACTAAAATCCTCGAAGACACGCAAATAAAATAATAATATACAATAAGAAATAAAAAAATAATCATTAAAGCTAAGGAAAATAAAAATATTAGTAACAATTACAATAAATTGAATTAAATTGAATAAAATAAGAAATAAATATCTAATGAATATCGTAATAACTTAAAACTAAACTGGTACTTGTAAAGCTAGGATAAGGCTTAAAAAAAAATTAATAATTTAATAAATAAATAAATAAATCTATCTTTTAAAAATAAATAACTTCAAAAATCAAATATTTAATAAATGAAAAATAATATGATAAAAAAATGAAAAGTTTAATAAATAAGTAAATAAATACATAAACAGTTCAAATTTAAACAATTCAATTTTATATTAATTATCTTTATAGCAAAAATGAAAGCACAACAAAGCTCTTTTTTACCACAAAGACAAACTTTCTCACATGCACATCACTACTTGGCAGCGCTCTTGCTATTGCATTAGACGCGGTCTGTGCCTTCGTCTTAGTCTTTAGTCTTATCCCTACCCTCAGCCTTCGATTGTGCCAACCCATTATAAGTTCAAAATTGTGCTCAAATTTCATTAGATTTTTTGTGCAAACACTTGAAAGTTGCTCGTAAGACGCGGCAGCGAAGAGGGGCTAAAATATGCGAGTCGACACCCAACAGCATACAGAGCAGCAACATCAGATACTCGTATAACAATGTGCTGTGCGCGCCGCAAAGTATGCAACGCCTTAACGCACACACAAACACAACAATTGTTGTATGAAAGCATTGACATTGGGCGAGTCAGCTCGTAGTGCTTATATTTATAATCGCCAGCAATGCCCAACACGCGCAACATATTGAAATCGTCTGATATAGGAGGGCTTAAGTTCAATGCACGCACAGGCTTGCAGGCAAGCCTAATTTAAGATATATAGTACTCGTATGTATGGAAATCGTGAAGTCAATGTGTAGCTCCAATTTATGAATGTGCAGCAGAGTTTTAAAATCCGCTCGACTGGTCAAAGTTCAATGTCTGCCCACTTTTTAGCCAAAAGCAAATGCACAATTTGTGGAAGCGCTTTTTTAATTTAATTGTGCACACGCAAATGCGAACGCAAATCCGGACACGTTTTTGTTCCAGCTACAAATAAGTGCCATAAAATAACATAGGAATCGAGAGTAGTAGTCGTTCAACTTATAGATACTCTAGAAAAAGGTTCAGTTGATTTTTATTGCATTGATTTATAATATTATTTCGAATCTCACTGAGTCTTCAATGGCATGAAGATACTATGGCGATTAAAACAGCAATGATATTATGAAAATTAATGGAAAAAGAAATAGTCTTGATAATTTGAAGCTATTTCAGATAATCAAATTTTCAATTTAAACTAATATATTTAAAATAAAATCTAACTTTATGATTACATACTACTGTACAACTACTATAAACTTGCAATGTCGACTTGAAAACATATAATTCAAAAGAAAAATAGAGAACACTAATAATATATTTTAAGTATTAATATTAGAAAGCCAAAAAAATCGAATAACACGCCTTTGAACGTCGCAATATTTTCACAAATACAATGTTTTCACAGCTACATTAAATTACTGGCAACATAGTTGTCAATGGTAGTAGGTAATAGATAATTACGTGTTCATGGTTTATGGTAATTGTATACTTATTGAGAATGATAGCAGAATAATTTTAATGTTTTAAAATAATTAGCTTTTTGATTTATGCATCCATTCTGTATATAAAGACATAACGTTACAGCGATTGTTCGATTCTGACAATGGCTTTTCAACTATTAGCATTGGTTTCAATTATTTTCGGGCCTATTGGATTTACAGAGGCCTCCAACGAACCTTCAAAAACACCTTGGGAACTTGAGGAAATTACTACAGCGGACCAACTCAAGTACTCACTTTTCATAACTGGCAAATGGTTGACAGGTAGGTCTAGCATTAGAAACCTTATCAAAAGTTTTATTAACTGCTAATGAATGCCTCTGGTAGCTGAGAAATTCTATTATGCAACCAATAGTAGTGATCTGGAATTGTACAATGTCCGCACGCAGAAGACAAAAGTACTTCTAAGTAGAGAGGAGTTGGTAAGAATTCAAATAAATATTTAAGAACAATTATAACAACATTCTTTACAGGGAAAATATTACAAAAGCGAACCGATTATCGATTTAAGTGCAGATGAAAAGGAACTTTTTATATCGTCTAGTTATCCGTCGAATTACACTCTCCTCAACATTGAAGGCGCAAGTGCAAAAGTTCTATATAGTAATATCACCAGTTATAGCCAAGAGAACCGATTAATTTTCACCTCTAATAGGACCCTCTGTTTGAGACTTGAAAACGTTAACTTAAAATGCTTAACACCCCCTGAGTCTACCGAATTTGTAAACCATATACCTTCGCCAGATGGAACTAAAGTTGCCGTCACTATCCAGGACGAAAGTCGAGTAAAGTTCCACAAATTGTTACTGTATGGCGATATAGATGGCTTTTCCAATCAGTATGTAAAAGAAAAGGACATCAAATATGCTAAGATAGGCGCCGAAAAAGGAACACAATATCTCCAAATATATGACTTAAGAAATCCCGCTCTAGAGCAAGTGAGCGTCAAGGCTCCTGAAGATATAGTCGGACCAGATAGCTATTTGGATAGATATCTTTGGTTAAATCATACTCACTTGCTGGTTATATGGCTAAATCGACGCCAAAACGTGTCCACATTTCAAGTTTGCGCCACTAGTGGTGTTTGTCAAGAGGTGAGTCGAGAAAAGAAAAGCTACCTATTTAACTATTGTAGTTCTTCAGGTCAAGCGTTTGCAAGAATTAAACGGCTGGGTTGAGGGAGTAAACTCCTATGATCATGGCACAAATATAGAAGTTGTCAACAGCGGGAGAAATTGTATTTTCCTTTACTGGATCGACGATTGGTATCAGATATGGAACATGGATCTGGAGACTGGTAAAAATATATGGCAAAGCAGAGGCAACTTTACCGTCCTTAAGATCTATGGATATGATGAAAAAAATGACAAGATGTATGTAGTGTGCTGTTTTATAAAACAAAAGAGAGTTTTCATATCCACCTTCTAGTTATTATCAAGCCACAAGGCCGAACGATCCTGCAGTCGCCCATATCTTTAGCAACGATGAGTGCCTCACCTGTGAATTGCGTGATGAGGAAGGAACTGTCTGTGAACATGCCGATGCCTCATTTAATGACGACTTTTCGCTCTTTGCAGCATTCTGTCGGGGACCTAGTGTACCATATTCCATTATTTTGGAAACCAATGTATGTTTTTCAACATTTAAATTCCACAGACTTAACAAGAAACAACCACTCTTTATAGGCGAGGAGGGTACTACGTGTCATTGAAAAGTTCAGTGATATACGCCTACAAGTGGCCAACAAACTTCAGCCCATTAGCAAGTACATGAATGTTACCTTGGCCGATGGCAGCTCTGGCTATGCCAAGCTCCAGTTACCTCCAAATTTTTCTGAAACCAAGAAGTATCCGCTTCTGGTTTACGTTTATGGTGGGCCGCATACTACAGTGGTTTCCAAGCAATTTAAAATTGAATTTCAACATTATATGACAACCAAACATAATGTCATTTGGGCCTACATCGATGGACGGGGTACTCCCAATAAGGGTAGAAGCCTACAATTTTCTGTTAACAATCACTTGGGAGACTTTGAAGTGCAGGATCAACTGCATGTAACGCATTGGTTTCAGGAAAACCTACCCTATGTAGATAGCAAACGGACAGGTATTTGGGGACACAGCTATGGAGGCTATATGGTTATCAAAATTCTGCAAGCTGATGATAAGGGAGTCTTCCAATGCGGCGCAGCCGGAGCACCCGTTACAACATGGACTCTGTATAGTAAGTCCTGGATAGACCTCTATTTCTTGGCTCACATTCATAAAGTAAACACTTTTGAATACCCAATTAGAAAACTGGTATGGAGAAAGATATATGGGCCTGCTGGACACAGTGGAGCAATTAAGGGATTTCAACAGAAGCAGCACTCTAAATGATATTGAAAATCTCCGATCGCACCAGCTATTACTGATGCATGGGACAGCCGATGACAATGTTCCCATTGAACATACGCATGTATTGGCCAAAAAGTTACAAGATGCGAATATACTCTTTGATGAAATGGTAAATATAGGTATAACTACCAACCGAACAACAAAAATTTAGCTTCAATTCTTCCACTAGATTTTTGTTGATGCCGACCATCATTTCTCGTACATCTATAGCTTTAAGCTAATGGAGCGTTTCTTTACAAGATGCTTGAAACTATCTGAATTATAAAGAAAACATAATAAAAATTAAATAAGAAGAAGTGAAAATAAGACACGAGATATCTTCATTCAAAATTTAATACACTTTCTTGTCTAAAAAACTTGTCAATTTTACGATCAACTGATAATAAACCACTTCCTGCATTAAATTTACTTGCTTCGGTAAAGCGTTTATTTTTTATTATTTTCTTAAAGCTATGAATCAATTAAAGAAATAAAGTTTGCATTTTATGGGACCTACTTGAAATAAATGGGCCGTTAAAACGAAATTTGAAGTGCCTTTAATTTTTTCCCATAGCATTGCCAAAAACTAGTGTACCCACAAGTTGTGTCCATTTCCAAGAGAGTATTGCATGTTTAAAAATAATCTCAGTAACAACAATGCAAAAACGTGGCGAAATTTAAAATAAAATGGAAGCAAACATTTTATGGAATTCATAGCATACAATTAGGCTTGGTTGCCTGCCAGACAAAAGCCATTTGCCAGGTGCAGACGATTCGCCAAATGCTCTTGATAATGCTATGACGCTGGATTAGTTGGCTTGCTCTGTCAATGCTGGACTGGGCTAGGACTAGAGCTGAGGATATTTGTTGTTGGCTTACGGTTTTCTAAAAAGGGACACGGTGCAATGACTGAACACTGTCCGAACATTTTGTTTGTGTAGTGAAACGGGCGAGTCATCAAATAATGCTGGGGATTTCGATTCGAATTTAATGGCATTGCCAAGGGAATAAAGCGGCTGCAGAATAAGGATAGCCGCAGCTAAGGTAAAATTGGAAAATTTTTATTTTTTCACAAACAGCAATTTGATTTTTATGATGAAAGGTATTAGAAGTGCACTTAAGCTCGGCAATGGCCTTTAGTCGAGTGCATATAAAAATGGATTATTAAAGTAAAGTACACTCTTAAATATAATTTTACATTTTATGTTGAGTTGTACGCAGCATAGCTTACAATTATTAGCTATAAGCATATTTTTTTAACAATTCAGTGACTTATTAAGCTCAAATTTAAGAGAAATTTATAAACCTTCACTTATATAATGCACAATAAATTATTTTTAGTATTCTAACATCAACATTAGAATTTAATTAATGCATACAGCGCAAAACAAGTTCAGATTAAAATAACAGTAATGTAGAGTCAATTCCTCTAAGCAAAATATACAGCAAAGGTTTAGAATTATATTATCTACATTTAATCAACAAATATAGGAAGTTTTAAAAAACATCTGGATTCATGGTTATAGAAATTGTATAATCAGAAGTTTTCGTTGTCTAAATAAGTTATACACTTAAATATGAACAAAAGTTTCAATTTGTTATCGAGGTATGAAAGGTTATTGTCTTTTCTATAAAAAATTAACTGTCATAATGTTATTTATTTATTTGAACTGCAAATAAAACAAACTTTAAACTACTGTTGTTTAAACTTTTCTATTTTGGTTTGGTTCTACATACCACGCGTACTATTTTTACCATACGAGTTCCGTCTAATAAATGTTTTGCAATGACAAATTTTTAATTCATTTATTCTTTAGAAGAAATTCTGTAATGACGTAGTTTTATGTCAATATTTTCCACAATAAAAACAAAATAAACACAAAAGCAACGCGCGCCCTTTTTATATTTGTATACCCTTAACTTCCTTCAAAATTTATGGAATAGAACTATTAGTTTAAAGAAACAATTTTAACAAAGTTCCGCTCTCTCTCTCTCTTCAGAGGTTTCACCTAAAAGAGCACAAATTGTTTCATATAAACGAGTAATATGTATATATATAATTTTCAAACGTCAGTATGTAAGCAAGTATTATCTATCTGCCTTATGGTTTCAGCAAACTAAAGAGGCCTTCTTCTGCAAAATAAAGTGGTTATAGGAGAAGCATTGAAATCTTTCAAACCATGTCCGCTATCGTTATTTGAGAGACCTAAATATTCAGCTGAATATACATTAACTTCAACAATATTACAATACCCCCCCCCCCCCCCATGCAAATAAACAAATACATATTTAGCTGTTAGGCATAGACACTCTTGGAACTTGCCTAAAAACACGTTAGAGCAGATGTTTCTTCAAAATACAAATACATCTGAACTTCAAATGTCAGCCTAATTTACTAATTTAATGCTAAACGTAAATACAATAAGGCAGGGAAGGCATAGAGCGTAATGATTGTTTAAAAAACTATAGTGATTGACTGATTAAACAAGGAACAATTACAATTAAATAAACAAATAATTGAGTTTGTAATATCGGTGCTATAAAAGATGGTTGTTCAACCACTCAGCGTGCACTACAATTTAGTTAACAGATAATGGCACATCTAGGCGTCTTTCAAAAAGTTTTCCTGTTCACCCTTGGTGCGGCTTTTGTGGTGGCAGACACCGATTACTGCTCATCGAGTCTCTGCGGCAGCTCCCAGCATATAGCATGTGAAAACTCAGGCGTAGGTTTGAAAAATATTTTCACACTGTCGGAATGATATAAACAATTTCCAAATACTAGGACTGGTCATCGGCCTGTCCCACGAGTCCGGCCCCCATAGCAGTTGACATCACCCCACAACTCAAGAATCAAATTTTCAGAGGTCACAATTTCAGACGACAAAGATTGGCTTCAGGCAATCTGCCCGGTTTTGAACCAGCCGCTCGCATGGCCTCTGTCAGATGGAGCGAAGAACTTGCTCAGCTGGCGGCCCTCAATGTCAAGCAGTGCGAGATGCAACATGATGCATGCCACAATACGGACCAATTCAAGGCTAGTGGGCAGAATCTGGCAATGATCGGCTATGGCGGTGACCAATCTAGCAAAACGGATAAGGAGTTGGTCACTCAGTCCCTCACCATGTGGTGGAGTGAGCACAAGGATACAACAATGGCACAAATTAACGAATATCCCAGTAACTACAACGGACCGTAAGCACCTTGTCCTCAAATATAATGGACAGATATACATATATTATTTTGTTTGCAGACCAATTGGCCATTTCACGGCAATGGCTCAGGAGAAGAACACACATGTGGGGTGTGCCGCGGCGCGTTATATCCAGAATAATATGAACTATTGGCTGTTTGCATGCAATTACGCCACTACGAACTTTATAGGCCAACCTGTCTATACGGCAGGACCCAGCGCATCCGAATGCACGAAAGGCACGCACAAGAATTTCGATGCCCTCTGCAAAGTCAGTGAGGTCTATGACCGGTAAATCTTTACGAAGTATTTTGTTTTTAAAAAGCATTTAGAACTAAAACACTTGAAATTTTTGAGTAAATATTTGTGTAAAATCAAACGATAAGGTAAAAATATATTTTTATAATACGAATAAATATTTGGGATAAATATCACTCTCCGGTTTGAATAGATTGCCGACAGACAAAACAAAAATTAAACATAACCTTTTTTAAAGCGTTTTGAAAGAAGTTCCACTTTTACTGTCTTCGAATCTAAATAATAAGAAACACATTCATATGGTTTTCCATTACTTTATATTTTAATAGTTTATAAAACCATTGAAGAGATTCACAAATTATAGACTTCAGTAACCTTGCAGAGGGCATTGAAATTCACGTTCCTGCCCTTCGTGCATTTAGATGCGGTGGGCCCCGCCGTATAGACGGGTAGACCTATATAGTTCGTAGTAGCGTAATTGCATGCGAACAGCCAATAGTTCATATTATTCCGAAAATAACGCGCCGCTGCACACCCCACATGTGTGTTCTTCTCCTGAGCCATTGCCGTGAAATGGCCAATTGCTCTGCAAGTTAAATAATATATATCTGTTGATTATATTTGTGGGCAAGGTACTTACGGCCCGTTGTAGTTACTGGGATATGCGTTAATTTGTGCCATTGTTGTTACCCTATACTCAGTCCACCACATGGTGAGGGACTGAGCGACCAACTGCTGATTCGTTCTGCTTGATCGGGCACCGCCATAGCCGACCATTGCCAAATTCTGTCCACTAGCCTTGAATTGAGCCGTATTGTGGCATGCATCATGCTGCATCACGCACTGCTTGACATTGAGGGCCGCCAACTGAGCAAGTTCATTGTTCCATCTGACAGGGGCCATGCGAACAGCCGGTCTAAAACCGGGAAGATTACCTGCAGCCAACCTTTGTCGTCTTATATTGTGACCTCTCACAATTTGCGTTCTCAGGGCTGGCGTTATGGCAACTGCTATGGGGGCCGGACTAGTGGGGCAGGCCGAGGACCATGCCTAGTATTTGGAAATTCTATACACCATATTTTAACCGTATGTAAATTTGTTTAAAACCTACGCCTGTGTTTCCACATGCTATATGCTGGGAGCTCCCGCAGAGACTCGAAGAGCAGTAATTGGTTTGGGCCACCACCAGAGCCGCACCAAGAGTGAGCAGCAGAATTGGTTGAAAGACGACTAGATGCGCCATTATCTGTTAACTAAAGGCCTACTGGTTGAACAACCATCTTTTATAGCATCGAGATTTCATAGCAGATTGTTTGACTATTTGACTGTAATTTGCTGTTGTTTAATCTGTCACATCGTGAACACAATACCTCAATATAATTTTCGCTTCGTGCTTGCTACTTGCTGACGCAAACGTATTTCTAGTACTAAAGAAATTTTATGCGTAAATATTTGTTAGTTTGCATTTGAAGTGTTGGCGAAATCAAATCAACATCATGTATGTATATTCAGCTGAGTATTTAAAATAAGTGGAGAAGCTAAAGTCGGGTTTCCCGACTTTCAAATACTGTGTGCATATATTGTATGATATACATACATATATATGTATGTGTAGAATAATTAAACAAGCTAAGAAAATCAAGAAATTTAAAAACAAAAATTCAAGAAATGTACATAACTGTATGACTCTAGCATGCTTGGCTTGGCAGTAGTGGGAAATAGAACACAGACTTAGGGCAATCCTATTGAAGTGGCGTGGAGTGTAGCTACGCATGCAAACACCGTTTCACATAAACGGCTTTACACGTTAGCGCGTGTCCCTATACACGACTCTTCAGCACTCTCACGAAAAGTTTGATGTTCGGCCACTCACTCTCTCTGGACAAAACGCAACGTCGCACAATCAGAAATCTGCAGATCAGTGTTGCTTGTTCTAGAGCATCAAAAAGCTAGATTCGCATATTAAATAGCTAAATGCAGCTTCCTGCAAATACCTGATATTGAAATGAATACAGCTTTATATTACATTAATACAGCATTATGCTTGAAACTACAAATATACTTTCTGTTTAAAAGTAGCCGCATAATAATGCTTATTCAGCTTTTAATAAACTACAAACCTTGAGGGAAAAATGGTTCAACTGGCAACACTGCTGCAGCCATTCGCAAGAGGGAGAGAGAGATAGAGCGAGTGCTTCGCTCTGAGGCGAACATAAATATGCAGAAATATGAAAACTGTTATAGCTACGTGAACTCATTAGGCTTCGCCAAACATGCAACACACAAAATATAAAATATGCATACATATGTACATGCATATGTATGTACATACATAAAACACATGCATTTAGTTTGCGTATTTGCGGCAATTTGATGTCTGCAAATACAAAGCCCAATTGTGGTGTTTTTTCAATAATTGAGATCAAATATAAATACATGTACATAAGTATGTATGTATGCACATGTGTTATACTGTTATACGAGTTTATACGCAATAAAAGTGTGAATAAAAACAATGAAAAAACATTTAAATAATGCTTACCTACAGATCAGTGCATAACGATCAATTTGATTGATAATACATATATTGCCATTTAATTGATTATAGTAATGCACAAAACACTTTATCACAAGCACTTGAAAAAAAAAACAAACAAAAAACACATATACATACATACACACACACACACACATCCCTGTGCAGGCGACAATATAAACACTACATAAACAAACGACGCGACGCGCTCAACCGTTCAAAGAAAACTGAGCCTCTCTTTGTCGCTGCACAAGAACACGTTCACGAAATCTCTCTCTCTCTCTCTCTCTCTCTCTCTCTCGAAATGATAGTGAAAGGGAAGAAATAGAAAAAAGAAAGAGAAATCTTATTAGACAAATAACAGTAAATCAACTTTCGGGTGCCGAAACTGGCTGGTGTAGAGAGCAATAAGAGTTTCAATGCATGTTAAACGGTTGTTCGATGTACAGATGTGCATATTTAAAAAAAAGTTATGCAGAAACAAGTGAAGAAGCTACAGTCAGGTTTCCCGACTATAAAATACTCTGTACATACTTATGTGTAAAATAATTATAGAATTAAAAAAGAATAATAAAATTAAAAAAAATAAAATTAACTTGCACAGCGAGGTGTCTCTCTGCACCCACTACCTACTTACTTACTACTCGGATATACCAATAGCTAGTTACTGAGTTTGCATTTGCAAGAGGATTTTTTCCATGGCCATTAATGACTGTTACCACAAGTTAATACTTTTTTTTAATAATCAAGGAAAACATTCTAAAAATATTGTCTCCCCACTTATTTGAAAATCAAATCAATTCATTTTAATCGACATGCGACTACAAGTACAACAATTTTCAATTAGGCCTTCCAAAAGTATTAATTTGACACACATTGCGCATTCGCCACGTTGCAAATGACAGGCAGACAGCGAACATTTCTATGTCATGTGGAGGGCAAAAGCTATTGTTGAGGTTGCCAAATCTGCTACCAACTTTTAGCCAAAGTCCCAGAGTTCCGCAGCACTTTATTACACTTCAGCTGACCAGTTTCGCCTTTTAATAAAGGCGGCGCGTGCACTCAGACAGACTTTTACCATTTATTTCATTAGCACATTTTGTGTGCGTGTTCTTGGTATGCTCGTGTTTCTGTTGGCTCATTCATCAAATTAGTGGCTGGTAGTCGGTGGGGCTGTTGAACTGCGGCTCGCGCTAAAGTGCAACATCGTCGCATATCATTTATAAGCATTTAAACAGGCTAGATTAATGGCTAACAACCGCAACCATTACCTCCTTCGTCCACACCAACATCAACTACGCAGCGAACAACAGACAAGCTCAAGCTTTAAATGACTGACTAAACTGAGTGACTGATTGACTGACTGACTGAATGGCCGAATGAATGAGTGAAGCCAATTGTGGTGCACGTTGCGACTGTGGCTGCTTTTGATTTGCCTCTGACGCGTGGCACGAGTTCGTGTGCTCTCTGGTGGCTGGTGTTGATTTTCATGCTCAAATGCACGCCATTGTGCGAATTCTAAAAATAAACGAGTCCCCACCGGCGAGGTGCGCTTTTTAAGTTCGCATTTCAACAATTATTTCATGCTAGACTTAACATGTCCTCATTCTGTTTAACCCTGGGTCTGCGTATCTCTAAATCAGCAAGCTTTACATTTCACAGCTTTTTTAAATTACAAAATTAAATTAAAGCAAATGCCCATACCTAGGGATTTCTTAACCATTTGACGTCGCGGCATAATTATTAGCTTTGCTAATTAGTTGAGTAGAATAAATTTGACCTATTTTCTCTGTTTCTTATGAGATTAAAGACTGTTAATACAAACGAGTCTTTCTTGTTTCAAGTGAGAAATCATGAATAATTCTAAAATACTATTTATCCTCCCTTCTTAACTTAAATAATCGGTTTTGTACTAAACCTTTCATAAATAAAAATGTTTTTGGTACTAAGAACATCAAGTTTTGTATTTCTAGCATACCTTTATATGATATATAATATATCATATATAATATATTATTTTTACCCTATACCTTAAAGTAAAAGTATGACTAGATAAGTCATAGCCAAGTCCTTCAGTTCGGCACACTTTTCGTCCGTATAACCACAAGGATCTCAGAACGTACAGGCACTAGGCAAGTGAAGCTTAAGTATTCAATTGTTCAGACATAAAAAAAATACTTTAAAAATTAGTTATTTGTTGGACTTGCGGAATACAGCATGAACACAAATATAACTTGTTTATTTATAGAAGAAAATTAATTTATTATTTCTTCAATTGAAATTTATTTTATTTATTTAGTTTAAGATTGCTCTTGCAATTTATCTCTTCAAAAAGTTTTCTTACTATAAAGTTTCTCTAGCACAAATGTTTGTCCAAACTAATATACGGACCAAGTGGTAATTAAATAATCAAGTTTCAAATGACTATTTATATCAAAGCATTTTAGTTTTATTTGGTTTTGTGTTTGAGCGCTCGCTTCATAAATGCATTACGTATATCGTATATGAAGTATATATATATATATATATTAGTTAGTTTTATATTTCTGTGTGCCATTCACTCTCTGTCTTCCTTGCGGAAAAGTGCATTTCTGTCTAACTAATCACTAAAGTATTCCCAGTGTAGCATTCCGTTTATGAGTTTTTAAAGAGCTCGCCCCTGCGGCTGGGTTTGTTTTCCTAATTGTGGGGGCAATGTAAAAAGTTTTATATGCCAACTAAATGTGCGTCGGTTTGTAATTAGTTTTTATGGCTTCCCTTGGCCTGGTCAGCAACACCGGATGGAGGATGCTCAAGTTTTGATAAGCCATGCTGTTGTGGTACATGCAGGATACTCCAAGTGGCATGGCCAACAATGCATTCAATCAGCTCCTTTTGACACTGCGATTAGTTGAGCTCACGACTGCTAATTATTCAATCACACATATCTACACACGCAGGATTTGCCATTTTGCATGAATCCTGCAACAAGCAAAATCAATTATTGACAACAGAGAAAACATAAGCGGCACATGTCGCCAAATAATTACCAGCAGCACGATTGTGACGCAAGCTAATTGGCAACTAGCGAGACCAGGACAAACAGAGTCCTGGAATAGCCACAACATGTCACGTGCCATGCCGCACAAATGCAGCATATAATGCCCGATACAAGTATGGTTGCGTATTCCTTTATGTCTCGGAGCAATAGCTCGCTGAATACAGCGTTGTTGTAAAAATATAACTTCGGTTGGCTTGTGATTGTCAAACACAACAATAAGGGAAGTTGTATTTTTTGAACTTAGTAATAAATAGTTAGTTATTCCACATATTCCACTTTACTTTCACCTTTTTATACCCTGTACCCAAAGGGTACAAGGGTATATTAGTTTTGTGCGAGTGCACATGGAACACACAGAAGGAGGCTTGGTAGACCCCACAAAGTATATATATTCTTGATCAGCATGACAAGCCGAGTCGATATAGCCATGTCCGTCTGTCCGTCTGTCCGTCTGTCCGTCTGTCCGTCTGTCCGTCTGTCTGTCTGTCTGTCTGTCTGTATGAACGCAAGGATCTCCGAAAGTATAAGAGCTAGAATAACCAAACTTGGTATACAGATTCTCCTGAGACCGAGAAAGGACGAGTTTGTTCATTTTTTCTGATCCACCCCCCCCACTCCCCCCCTATTAACGATTTTCTATAACTCCCGTAATTCTTGGAATTTTGAACTGAAATTTGGTAGACACATCCAGTTAGTAATTGTATATCCGTATACCAAGTTTCATTATGATAGAATGATTGGAAAGAAAGTTATAGCCATATAACCAGGCCCAATGCACACATACATACATATGTACAAGTACACAAACACGCATAGACACGATTCTGATGTAATTGTAAATGTATCTATGCATGCATGGAATATTTAGTTAATTAATTAAATTAATTTAGTTAATTAATTAAATTAAATTAATTAATTAAATTAAATTAATTAATTAATTTAATTAAATTAATTAAATTACTTTTTTGTGGGGTGGTACAGGGTATTTAAGAGTTGAGCCTGCTCGACTTTAGCATTCCTTTCTTGTTTTGGAATGAACCAACGAACCAACACTTTTAAATATATTTCAATTGTATTTTTAGTTGAAATAATCACCATTTTACATAATTCGAACTAATTTCATAATAGTATTTACAAAAATCTATCTATATACGTGCTTTTAAAATCTATATAGAATTAAAAGAATATTGAATAAAGTTTTCCAACGACTCGACTTTTTAAAATACATATTTAATAATTAAGTTTATTTTCTTCTTTTTAGATCATTATCAAAAATTGTGTAGTTATGGCATTTCAACTTCACCAGAAACCCAACTTGATGTTTGATGAAAAGCTTAATACACATAATATGTATATAAGTTTCAGTCTAGACATTGACAGAAGCACTTATTTCTTAATAAATAAAATAAAAACGAGGTACTTATATAAGTATATTGCATTTGTATGGCTTTCTTAGTAATTTACATTTACGCACCAGCTGCAGCGATTCACAAATGATGGCAGCTTGGAAGTTATCATGGAAATGTCAGAACACCTTTGCCAATACCCTTCCGTGGACAAAAAAAAGTCAAGGGCTCCGCAAAATTTGCAATGCTCCAGTATTTATTAATAGTGTGTGCAGGCACGAGAATGTGCCTTCTAGTCAAATAGTTTTTTGTGTCATTGAGTGTTGACAATTTCTTAGAATTCATATGCGTAGAAATTTCCTTTCCTAGTGTTGTGCTGTTTAGTGTACAAGTGTTTGGAATTTGTGTATGGGTTTCTATGTAATTTTTGTTTTCTAATGCATTTCGCTCTGCTACTTCTTTTTCTTGTCGTCCTTCTTGTCATCCTTTTTCTCGTCCTTCTTCTTATCGTCTTTTTTCTTATCACCGCCACCGCCACCGCCCGGACATGAGGTTAAATAGCCTCCCTTTTGCATACGATTGAAGGATGTCATCGGATCGTAAGTGGAATAGAAATTCTTGTACTTAGTCTTACGCGGTCCATTGTGAAAGACGTACAGAAGGAGCGGTGCAATCAAGGCCAAAACGCAAGCAACTCTCACATTTCCCAAAGTTTTTTTCAAATGCGTATCATGCATAGGAAACTTATAGTTGGGTAGCGGCTTCTTCGGCTTAGCCTAAAAGTTAAGGAGATATGTATAGGTCTGAATATTCGAATAGAAAATATTACATTACCGCTTCTTTCGACATTTTTGCTGCCGAATATATATTAAATGTGTCTCGTTGAACGAACTGTAGTCGAATGATATTAAAATAAATATCTGGGTATAGAAACCAAAAGCAGAGCCTGCTTTAAAAATAAAAAAAAAGAAACTACAAATATATTTAGAGAGAAAGCTTGCTATGAGAACTCTGCCAACCTTTTTGAAGCTGAAAACTACCTATTCCTTTCATTAAAAACATATACAATTAATTAACAGAAATTAGTTAAGAATATTATCAATATAAAATCTATAAAACACATGAGACTTGTATAGCAAATTTTTGAAAAATATAAATAGAGGTATATAGCTGGCCGTTTGGCAAATAAAATTCCCCCACCGTGTCGGATTCGTTATTGGATTTTTTGGTTATTTTTATATGCTTTTTTATTTCTTTAGTTTTATTTAAATTAAGTTCTATATTGTATTGTTGTTGACAGCGTATAATATTTACTTTAAATCTGTTCTTAGTTTACGGCCAAGCAGATTCAACATTTTATTATACCCTTACTATATAAACATTTGAAAACGTTCGGGAAGCAGCATAACCATTGCAACTATGTCATGGCGACACTTTTGTGAAACGGCATTATATTTTCCATTTTCGAGTCTAGTATGCAATATGAAAAAGTTGCACGTATGATAATTCCTTTCCTACTTGGCATTGTGGCAAGTCAACACAACTGAATCGAAAAGCTCAAATATTCAGCAACATCGTCAGCAACATTATTGTGCTTGTGCCTTCATGCATTGTGTTGGCATGCTTAGGTTGCCTTAATACACGATTTTCCGCAAATAAATCAATGCCAAGTGCCCCTTCAACCATTTCGAATCGCCACCGAACATAAATATCAAAAATAATGGATAACGTTGTCTGCTATTTTCTTTTTGGTTTTCCAACAGTTGGCTTCGTTCGTCATGGATTGTCGTGACGTCTCAGCAGATTTTTGTGTAGCAACAAAGGTTCTAAGCCTTCGACTGCTAGCTGAGGCAAAAGTGCCTGCCAAAAGGCAATTTTCAGGCCGACACAGCCCTGCCAGTGGCTCGTTCAATTGCCTTCCACAGGCCATTGTCATTAAATAGATCAAGTCAAGTCATTGTGCAAAGCTTTTCGTACTTGACTGCCTGGTTAGCATTCAATTGATTTATGATGGAACTCTACTAAGGCTCTGAGCACGATTACACTACTGGGCATAAGTATTGAAATAAACCTAAGATAGTCTATATCAGGAGAGCGCTTCTGTGTATGGTCAAAATAATTTATTATCGAAAATATTTAAAATTAAAAGATGCTCATTTTAAATAAAACGAAATTCCTAGTTTAAGCTGTATTTGTGTTTTCTATAAGTTTAATTTAAGTTATTGTAAATAATAATATTATAATTAAAGTTGTAAACAAATTTTCTCTCTCTTCTCTCTCTATCTAACTATCCTATTGCCTAAGTGCATTGATTACATCTGCCCATTTAAAATGTTAATTGATGAACAAAAATACTTCAATAAAATACACACCTTAATTTTAGATTATCTCTGGCCATGCCCGGCTCAACTTTTGTTTTCGTTATGTTTGCCGCTCATGCATTAAACAATTGCTTAGTTCTATGATTATAGTTTCCTTTTTAGAACCCACCGAACCCACCATTTAAAAACAAGGGAATTTTAGTATGTTTTTAAGGCTTTTATCAGTAAAGCAGCAAAGTATTTTTATACTTTCACATTTGCTCTTTCAAATGAGACATTACACTACTTTTTGCCTAGAATTGACTTGACGTACGATTTTTTTTCAACCAGTGTAGTTGCTTGTGTATGGAAACTTTCTCATCATTATGTGAGACATGCAATTTGTCAAATTTGCATTCAGCTGCTGCTGCTCTGGTTGGCGCCTGAAGGCCAGTTTTAAATGAGCTATAATGTCCGCCAATTTGAAGTGCCAATTATGCAATTACTCCGACATGCCTCTGCTTCTAGCATTAAAAGTCGCTAATTTCAATAGTGGCCAGCTTTAAAGCTTTAAGCAATGTTGGCTGCAGTGTAGTTGTTTGCATTTACCTTTTTTTCTGCATAGCTTGGGGCGCCCAAGCAGAACCAAATACAACAAGCGCTGTGTCTGGCTCTGTTCAACGCTGGCTCGGAAAAAAATCATTTATTTACTCTGCCAGCTCAGACACTAACATGACAGTCATAAAACGATTCGCTTTGCGCTTGTCTGTTGCATAATTTTCGGCGCTAAAGCGAATTTTTATTTACAAAATGTTCATTGGCACTGTATTTTATGGCTTCTACTAAGCGCTATGCATACATAGACCAACAGTAGACGAAATTATGTACATATAAACGTTTTGAGCCATTCGATATAGAAGATTCAGTCGCAGAGTAGACTTCGAGGCGTGCTTAGCAAAACAATGCACAAGGACACCCAAGAAATTGGTCTTCTGCCTACACACAGCTCTGGAAAATTGCCACAATTTGTTGTTCTGCAAAAACATGTTGGCTTACAAGTCGTAAAACATGTATTGCACACTTCAGGGGGCATGCCACACAAAGACTCGCACTTCTTTATATGCAGCGTCTGCGAATCGCGCAATCAATAAATTGTAATGGGAACATCAACCTAATGTAGATCGAGAGAAGGCATTTGCATTAAATATATAGAAGAACCTATCGATGCTCAGCATAGTATGATTAGTAATTAAATATTAGATTTCGCCTTATTATTCCCCTTATTATTTATTTAAACTAGAACTAAATCTACAAAAAAACATCTGAAGGCCTTTTATTAAAGTGTTGATGGAATAAAAAACCCTTTATAATAAAAGGATTTATCCAGCTGAATTCCTTAGTACCACACCTTACACGATACGTGTACATATTTGTCCGTAATTGCGTTTTAATGCAAATTGGCCAAGCATTGCTTTTAAAGCTTTTTGTACATTTTCTTTGAACTAATTGAGCTTAAGAATTCCAGTAGCTCAGCACCGCCACTACCCAACACTCGAAGCCTGCTACAGTTGGCAAATAAAATGTAAATTTTTTGCGAACATTTTCCTTTATGACCCTTGACTAGGCAATGGCTAGCAAACAACACGACACCACAGTGTCAGAACATGAACGTCTACATGCCTATAAATATACCGCAGTACAGACATAAATAAATGCTTCACAGCGGAGCCTTTAGTCGCTGCTCGTGGCATAGACGAGCAATAAGGAAGCCACAAAGTAAAGGGGATAAGAGCCCGAAATATACCAAAAACAAAAAAAATAATGCTGAGACTGGTATGGCAAAGAGCAAACAAGTGCAACATTTGGCCATTTGTATGGGAAAGCGGGCTGAACAAATGTTCCTGGCAACGTAAAAAATACATGGCGTACTTTTAGCTGCAAGTGCTGTTTTCCAACCAGAGAGTGGCAACAGAAAAAAAATACTAGTACTTACTCGTATGCACTGCAGTGTCGAAACTTATATACACTATATTGTTTATATAAAACATACAAATATATATAAATAAATAGCGTACACTGATCTGACAAAAATTTTAGTTTAAATATTGGCTATAGAAACAAACTTGTAACAATAAAGTTTTACATACAAAATCTCGTTTTAAACTAGATTATTAGGTCAGCTTTATCATATAGTGTTTCAATTTGTCTTCAACTTCGCCTCAGATATAAGTAAAACAAACATTTTAATATCAAATTTGCGCCTCAAAACATTATAAGGAATTCCTTTATTCTAAGACAAATAAAATATCCGAATAGCCAAAGAAAAAAGTTCCTCGAGATAAAAACATTTTTTCTGTGCCTGATGAGATAAATACTTGTGGCAATGGTAATGGTCTGATAGATCAGGCAAAGTTTTTCAATAGTATAAGGTCAAACAAATAACTTGTTAATCTATTTTTCAACTAAGGGGCACAGATTAGAAATTGGCACAACTAAAAAGTAGCTGTCCAACATGGCAGATAGGTTTCAAATAAAACACTACTTTGAATGCCACATGTTGCAATATTGGGTTGCAAATATGTGGCCAGAAGCCATGTACCTCTTTGCAGGGTATTAAAAGATGAGGCACACGCCCACACCGGTACATGCTAAACAATTTTTGTTTACGTGACCCACACGACAACCAGCTATGCAAAGTAGCTCTAAGCTGTAGCTCCGGCTCGGCGCGAAAAGCAAGCAATGAACGAGCGCAGAAGCACGGAAAAGTGTCCAAAGCCGCAAGGAAAAACGGAGCAGTGAGGGCAGTAGTCCGTAGTCCGTAGTTGTGGTAGTTACAGGAATTTGCAAGCAGACAAATTTGTGGCACTACTTTTTTCATTTTTCTTTTTTTTTGTTTTGAATTGCTGAGCAGGTGGTACTGTGGGCCTTGCGGTGTCAGAGTGTGTGTGTGTGTGTGTGTGTGTGTGTGTGGGGGGGGGGGGGGGGGGGGTGCAGAAAGTGTGGCAATGTCTGAAGTTCTAGGCATAAACAGGAAGCGTTCTACCACCGTTATATGCAAATTGCAGGTCACCTAAAAGTACTAAGCTATGCAACATTTTTTTGGACAAATTTAAAGCTTAGTTTTAAATAAAGTTGACAACAAATCTCATCAAACAACAAGTGCAGCTAAACATACGTATGTTAATTTATTGATAATGTTAGTGTTTTTGTTATTTCATGGCTCTCAAATGAAATAAATTTGTTATCAATTTTGCAACCAACCAATGGTATCCATTGCACCGATACAATCAAAAGACAATGGTACATGAAAAACATGCTTTTTAAGACCTAAGATCAACATTTTATGATTAAGAAGACCGTACGTCTAGCCTATTACATTATTTATTAAATCGCATTAATAACATAGGTTGAAATATAAAGAAGTACCCCGAACATGTCGTTTATTTCTAAATAAATGTAATAATAAATTTGTGCGTTCTTTGGTGCGTTCAGTGTTGCAAAACTATTTTCAGTATTGCCCAATCGCAGTTTGAAAAAACCAATCAAGCCAATAAAACACTATTTGCAGTGTTGCTTAAAAGCACTACCAAATCAATTGA